GGCGGGGAAGGGGAAGGCCAGCCTGGCCCGAGGAGGCCTCTGGCCCGCGTGACATGAGGCCGCACCGGTCCCCCGCAGCCGCTTAATCCCCCCAAGCAGCGTCCCGCTGATCCGACCGGCGCGGCTTTTCTTACGCAACGGCATTAAGCCCGCAAGCTGGCGATTGAAAGCACCTTTTCACGCCGGTGCTGTGCGGGGCCAAGCACCTCGCCGCAGGAATTTAAGGCACCCGGTTGCTTTCGGCAGGGATGAGGGAGTTTTGTTTTCTTTTCTCTTTTCTCCCAAAAAGTTTGTATCGGGGCCATGCCAAAAATACCCTGGTTTTACAGCTGGCGCCTGCAGGATGTGGCTGGGGCGCCCTCGTTTCACTGTGTGCCGCGTCAAGGTTCATTTCGGGAGAGCCAAACCGGAGTCCGACCTGCCTTGCTGGGGCAGAGGAGGGAGAGCTGTGAGGTTCCCTCCCCCACCGAGCCCTAATTCCCTTTGTATCTTACCCAAAACAGGCTGCAAAGCTGCTCAAGAACGCGGCCGAGATCAAAGGCGGCGGCACACGGCGCTATGGGAAGAGCCGAGCTGAAGTCAGAGGGGGTTTGGGGCCTGCAAAGAGAGGTTTGCTGGCTAAAAACGTGGAGTTTTTAAAGCAAAAAGATGCTATGAGCTCTTTTTTCCCCTCTCGCCTGCAGCACTGTCCCTCAATCCCATCTGTCTGGGCGCAGGGTGATGCAAATCAAGGCTGTTTTTTGCCTTTTCCGCCTCATTTCTCCCTTGCAGATCCCCATATTTTTTTATATCTGTTTTGCACGAGCCACGATCACCACTAGTGTGAAAATCGCCCATTTTACCCCCGTTTTACACCCCGTCTTCCATCACTCATTGCTATTATGAGGAAAAAGGGGGCTTGGCAGGATCTTTGAGCTATTCCTGCCGGTGGTCATTCCCTATTGGGACAGCACCCGGACTGGGCTGATCCTCTCGTTTCTCTCCCCAGCCGGAAGCAGGGTAGTTTTTTTCCTTTTTCCTGTTTTTTTCCCAGCCTTTTGTGGCCAGGGGAACTACCGGCTCCGTTTTTGGGCGGCCGGGAGGGAGACGAAGGCTCAGGGACTCAGAGACCAGCCTCCCTCGGCCTAAACCACACCGCAAACAGAGCGGCCCACCGCACGCTCGTTTTGCTCCATTTTAAAACCAAAAAAACTCAGCGTTCTCGCAGCTCGCCTATTTTTATCGCCGGGTTTTGCAGCAAAGACGTGCAAACAAGGATATTGGCCCAGAAAGAAAAGCGAAAAGCGCTGCCTAGGCTCTCAGCAGCGCAGCTCGGCAGGGCAACTCCTTCAGCAGCGATTCGCAGGAAAACGAAGGGGATTTGAGTGAAAGCGGAGTCTCTCTCATTCCCGTTTCGGAGAAATTCCCTCCTGAAAACGTGGCAGTGGCGCCCGGCGCTGCCTCGGGGCCGGGAGGGCTGAACCGCAGCGACAGTCGGCTCATCCCGCCGCGCTCCACAGTCGCCCAGCATAATCCCTGCTAATAGAGAAACATTCCTGAGCAAGCAGTGCGTTTTAAGGCAGAATAACCACAATCCGGGAGCCCAAGCAGGGGATCCCCCACCCCCCACGTGCCTCTCGTTAGTGCCAACGAGCTGCAATGGCTGGGTAATTTGCAGCTGCAGCATTAGGCAGGATTAATTGCTCATTAATTCGGCTGGTGAAACCCCAATTAGCTCAATAAACCCCCAGCGGCGCGATAAGACAAGCAGCGACGGGCGCAAAAAGGGACCCAATGGGGTCCCGATGCACTGTAACGCCCTGACTGTCCCCCAGGATGCCCAAAACCTCTCAATCTTCCTCCCCGGGCCCCGTTTTGGGGCATTTCTGCAGTTTCACTTTCGCAAGATGAGCCAGCCAGATACAAAATATAGCCATTCCCATTTTCCAGGACTTTGCCCCAATTTTTCCAGAGAAGCCTGCGGACAGCAGGACATGCTATCCTGGACCTATCCCCCATCCAAATTGGGTGTTCTTTTCTGTGCAAAAAATAAGGAAAAACTGGTACCTCCGAAAGGATCCAGATGGCCAAGGTGGGACCAGCTGGAGCACCTCATTTCCCTGCTTCGGCTGTAAAAAAAAAAAAAAAAAAAAAAAAGAAAAAAAAAAAAAATAAATACACATATAGGGAGGTTAGCAGGTTGTGAAGCAAAAAAATCACATGTTCAGGACAGGTGCTTTCCTCCTTCTCCAGGAGGAATTTTAGGTCATTTGGGGAGGATTTGAGCCCAAATACCCAAGCTGGGAACGAGATGGGGGTGGCAGCCATCATCCCCAGTTCCCTCCCTGGGAGCACCCCCATGGGGAGGGAAACCAGGCACAGGTGGTTGTTTTCGGATAAAAGGGTAAAAAAACACTTTCAAACAAGCTGTTTCAGTCCAAGGGGGTGGGCGACTGCAGGCCCTTTTGATTAATTTGTGCCAAAATAAGGAGCTGGCTGAAAAGCAGCCCCAAATCCCCCCAAGACAGGCAACTCCAGGGTTCGCTTTTAAGCAGAGGAATTGGCACAGGGAGCCCAAAGCTGCCAAGATTTCAATTAATTACTGGGTTAATTATATCTAGACTTTGCTCAAGCATCTCGTTAGCCTTTCAAGGCTAAATAACAGTGACCTGAAGCCCCGGGGAGCAGTCCAGCACTCCAGAGACATCGTGATTCATTTTCCCCACCACCGTCACGTTTGTGGATTAAATCCAGTGTAGGTTTCTAGGGCTCGAAGCAGTTTTGGCTTTGAGCGAAAAAAAAGCTCAAGGAAAACACCTGAATAACCCAGTTTGGTGTTTTTAGCTTTAATAAACAGTCAGAGAGGACATGAGACAGAGGCAGCCCTCCTTGCGAAGCGGTTCACTCGTGTTGCAGTAGCTACAGGACCAAAAGCCGGCTTTTTGCGGGAAAAGCACGGGCTGGAGGCCAAGGAGAAGAGGGAGGAGGAGGCGACGCCGAGCTGCCAGCCCCGAACGGAGCCAGAGCTCTCGTCACCAGAACGTCGTTAAAACGGTCTTTTCCCTCCTGGATCGTTACGGGGGGAACGGACGAGGGCAAGCGCCGGCACATCACGAGGCCGTTCAGGAGGGCGGAGGGGCGAAGCGGGAGGAAACACCGCCTCCGCCGTCTGACAGGACGCGATGGATCCGGCTCACGTCCCGGCTGGGAGGGAAGGAAGGCAG